AAGGAAATATTGATTTCATCAAAAAATTATTGTCTGATAATGTTCTTGGTAGTATAGGTAATATCTATATGCACTTTATATCTTTTTGATTAAAATATTATCTTTTTTAGTCATCACCACATACAGATAAACAACGTCGATGGCGTGCTAAGAAAAAAGATCAACATCATCGTACTCAATTATCTCTACATCATTTACTAATTGAACAAATTGTAAATAACTTATTTTAATCGAGCTAGCTCAACACACAACGATGATGAAGTTTGAAAAAATAAGTATTTTTTTTGATAATTAAAATTTTGTTTTTTTTTGTATTAAAAACTGAAACTGCTTTAACAACATGTGAAATTAAAAGTATTTTTTTGTTTTTTTTTACATTTGTTGTACATAGTGTGCAAAGCTTATAATAAAACGATATGAAAAAAGAGTAATAATAACCTACAAAAGGCTTTTTAATGTGACCAGAATTAGGCACGAAACACAAGAAATAAGAAACAGACAAGAATTTAAGAAAAAAAGAATCAGGCAAGAACATCAAGAAAAATAAGAATCAGACAAGAATTCAAGAAAAGCAAGAATACAAGAATCTTGTCTGGAGAAGAACTTCTTGCCTCACCAGCCAAGATTCGGTCTACACGAATCTTGTCAGAAAGGCAAGATCAGTTTTTTCAGGCAAGAGTCTTGTATAGAAAGAATAGAAAAAGAATCTTGTCTGAAAACCAAGAAAAACAAGAACCTGGAAAGAATAGGGCAAGATCGTGGATTAGTGATGCAATAGGAATAAAAATTCAAATTATTTTTTCTTTTTGTACAATAATAGAAGCATCAAAACGAAAAGAATACAGAAATTTTTTTTAACATGTAGGATTACAGCAGTCAGTATTTTTCATTTGACCAGTTTTTTCATAGGCGTGAAAATTTCTTATATTATTGAATAGAGAAATGTCTACTGAATCATCACCAATCATTTACAAGTACTTGAATTTGCTTTATTCAGAACAATATTGTCTAAAAAGAAGAACATGCCAAAAAATGTTCCTAATCAGGACAAACTATATAAAATACATAAAAAATTACCTATTAGAACTTGAAAATTTCTTTGTGTTTATGTCACAATTATTAGTGACATTAACTCAGAATATAAATATTTCCTATGTCATCAAAATCGTGCGAAAATTGACAATTTCATTATCATTACTCAGATAATGATTCCGATGATCTGACTTTGTCATAGTGTTTGGATCAATGACTATAACACGTCTCAATGTGAATATCATCGTACTCGTATATTTTTCTTGTGAATGACGAGAGCAATGATTTCTTTGTTCCTATCCGCAGTAAATGATACCAGTAACGGTAGTCGGTTCAACTCACTTGACCCTCGATTGTATCAGACAGAAATATACAAGTCTCATCCATGGACACCCAGTTATGAAACAGCTGTTTAAGGGAGAACTTATCACATCTGTCGGATTGACTGAATTTTCAGTCTGAAAAATCGAATTGGTTGAAAGTTCAACATTAAAAGCACTCGAATCGAACACTTAGCCAACGTTTTTTATGACGTTTCACCTTTCACTCTGACAAAAACGGACGAAAATTTATTTTACTTCATATAACCCTTCCTATACTCGAGAAAAAATTATTTTCTCAAAAAAACCTTTTTTCCTGAACCTAAAAAACTGAATTCAAAATTTTGAGAAACTAAATTCAGATTCGGATTCTCCGACCCCGATTTACTTTCGTCAACTTTTATAAAATATCATTATTTTCTCAAAAAACCCTTTCCTTAACCTAAAAAACTCAATTCAAAATTTTGAGAAACTAAATTCAGATTCGGATTTCCTGACCCCAATTTGCTTTCGTCAACCTTTATGAAAAAATTCATCTTTGTTGTTTTTTTGATCTTGTGCTCTTTTGACCCTGACGCAAACACACATACAACCGATTTTTTTTCATATGAGCCTCCCTACAGTCGAGGGAATCAATTCAAAATTTTGCGAAACTGACTTCAGATTCGGATTCCCCGACCCCGATTTACTTTCGTCAACTCTTATAGAAAAGAACTTTAAATGGATGTTTTTTGACCCTGATGTTCTTTTGACCCCGACACACACACAAACACACATAACCCATTTTTTTTCATATGACCTTCCCTACAGTCGAGGGAACACAAAATGCTTTTGTTTAATACAATCATCACAGAGAATATTGAGTTTTAGGTTAAAATAAACTAAGACAGATTTCGTTTTAGTTCAAGCACAAAACTATGACACAGTTATTTTTATTTGTTTTAACAGAGCTTAGGACGTACTTTTTACTGTTAAGTAGACAGCCTATTCATGTTAAATGATGCATTTTCTTAATGTATGCATGAAAGACTTTGTGTCGACATCAGAAAATGATGGTTGAAAGAATTTTAATGAGCTGGAAAATCAGCGTATAATTCCGAGAGAAGACATTTATTATTCAAGCACAGGAAATACATGAGCAAAAAAATTCTTATTGTTTTTAGTTGGAACATAACTTAATAGAACTTGAGAAAATATATTCATTCTTTAATGATCACTTATGAGCCAGGTCAAATTCGAAGACATATAAGCTCAAATATCTTTTCTTTTTGGGTTGAAGCTTCCTAAGACAAACTAAATTTCGATTGAACATATTGGCCAACTTTAGAACTTCTTAGATTCAACTAGACTTCACTCAAAGCGAAACTTAACTCAATTTACATATATATATAAGGTCAATGCTCTATTCTCATCTTTGTTTATTTTTAAATCTTTTAAATATTGTTTACTTTTGCTCGAATCTCAACTTTTTCTGATACATATTCTGAATAGCAAGAATAAGTGGTTGTTATAAAGCTTCTTGCGTGTTTACATGAGTAATGAATGTAAACAGATATTGACAAAGCAAAAATGAGCTTTTATTTGGGAAGACCTACGTACTCTGTCTTTCACTTGTGTACAAGAAATAGAAAAAAAACTTGAGAAAAAAATCAACAGATGATTTCATAGAGATTATAAAGACTAAATATTTGATAAGGTTTCTGAAGGAAATTATGAAAAAATATTGTATTGCATGATAATAACAAAGTAGAAAGATATCATTTTACTGAATTGGATTCAATTTCGTTTAGTTTTTACTCGCACTTATTGTCTTTGTGTTGAACATGCAATTATTTGTGATAATTTGTTGAAACTTTCTGTAAATTATTTTTATAATAAAAGAAAGACAATTGTCAAAAATAGAATGTAGATGAAGTACACGTTTTTATATCTTTAGTTGATACGAAATTAGAATTGAGTTGTCACAATTTATCATTTCAGAGTAATGCAAAAATTTTGAATTGATATCACTGATAAAAAGAAAAAACTTCATTTGTCTTAAATTGCTGAAAGTTAATGAACGTGTTCCATCAAGAAACATTGGTTGTGGCGTAAACACCAAAGAAATTTTCATGCTCAGATAGGACAAAAAAGTTCATTTACTAAAACTAGTTGATTTACTATGGATTTTATATAGTCTAATCTCATCAGGAATATTTTTTTTCTGGCTGTTGGAGTTAGAAACACTGTCTGTACAACAAGATAGTTTACTACGACGTAAGATATTGGTAAGGTTTGCTTGATGCATCGTTGAAATTTAATTGTAATGTGACAGACGGCTCGACACGGAAACGGAACTCGTGAGCTCTTTTGATCAGACCTCTCCGTAAAAATTATAATAAAAACGGAACCATGCATCATATAAACCTCGTTAATGTCTTATCTTGTAAAAAGAACCTGTTAACCTGATAATTCTAAAGTTTTCACAACATTCTCCTACGTCCTACATCTTGTGTAAATTCCGCATACTGAAGTACCATTAAGAAAATTGAAAAAATTCTAATGCGTGCCTAATGTAAACAGCCTTGGAGAAAGCACACAAATGCAGTTTGATTGGTTTCTTTTCGTAGTTTATGTAAACAAATGTAAAAATTGAAACAAAGCTATATGTGAAAGCTTTAAAAAGCTTTTTAAAATTCATTTTTTCAGCCTTATCAAGCATACTTTTTCTAATAATGCTGAAAAAGAATTATCTTTGATGAGTTTTTAACGGTTTCAAATGCTGTCTGTTTTTTTTTCAATGATTGATCGTTGCTTTAGCAAAAGTTGCCAAGAAACAATTTGAGCATTGAAATGTGTTTTTCCAACATATATTTGCTTAAGTACGAAAGTTTTTAAGATAATTGACGATTCAATTTGTAATCTTTATTCCAGCAAATGATGTGCTTTGCAAGCAATTGATGAGAAAAGAAAACAAACAACAATATCAGTAGATTACATAAAAGAAAGGTAAATTTTATTGAAAGTATTTTCAATCTTGTTCAATGTATACCAAGAGATTTCGAAATAGTAATTTTCGATGTAAATGGATGTATTGGTAATAAAAAGGTTATTATTAAGTTTCTCTATTGTTTTTGATATTGTAGATTTATTGTCTTCTGAAATAATGAAAAAAAATAATGTATTAAATCAATGAATACCATGAAAATATACATTTTACCTTTTAATTTCAAATTTATATCTTAAAACTTTTAGTAATTGACACAAATAAAAAGAATACATATGTATATACATATATTTTCATCGATAGTTAATAAATATCTTTGTGTTGAATATTTATTTACATAAATGTAAATATTTTTTTTTTTCTGTTTTTCTAATTTCGATGAGCCAAAAAAAAAAGAAAAAGACAAACGGAAGAACGAAAAAAAACACAAAAGAGAAAATTTCAATGAACATCTGTTATTTGTTGGAACTAGACAGAACAGCGTGCATATATGAAACCAAAAAAAGAAAAATAAATAGGGAACCAAATGATTGTACATGTTAGATAGATAAAGAAAAGATAGAGTAAACACAACAAAAAAGAACAAAAATCGAAATCTAATCGAATACAATCCCTGAGGAAAAAAAAAAGAAAAGAAAGAAGTTAAATTATTATTTCTCTTTTTAATCAAGAACTATACATGTATCATCATCATCTAATGAATTTGATGAAGTTTTACGTATTTCTTTTGAATTTAATATAAATACAGTTTGAATTTTTCCTTCTAATGTATGTCGTTTAGGAAAATAAAAAAATTCCACAACACGTGTTAAAATTGAATCAATTATTGAATCATAAATATTTAATGATAAATCATTACCATGTTCAAGCCAATGTGAATGTAATATATCACTATTTGTTGTTTGTGCATCAATATATTCACGTTTTAAACAGACAAAACATTTTAAATAAATACGTTGATATGTTAATGTTGATTCATTATTATCAGATATATCAATACAATTATCATCAGATGTTTTTTTAAAACGTTTTGAATTATTATTATTATTATTATATGATGTTGTTGTTGATTTATGTTTAACAGTTGTTTTTTCAGTTGTCATAGTTGTTATTGTTGTTCGTGTTGTTGTAGTTTTTGTTGTTGTTTGATTTAATGATTGTTGATCATTTGAAAATGAAGAATTTTCTTGTTGAGATGAATTTCTTAATGATCGTTTTATTTGTGACTATGATAAAAAAAAAATATTTATAGATTATCAATGTAGTATCATTCGAAATAAAATACTAACTGTTGTAGTATTATTTGTTTGATTATCTTTTATTGAATTTTTTATTATCTGATCAATAGTTGATTGTTCCAAACGATCAAGAACTACATGACATTGTAGAGTTGAATGAATATATTGTCCCATTGGAGTTCTTCTCATATTATTACGAAACGTATTTGTTGCCATAGTAATGAATTCTGTACAGAAGGAAAGGGATATTATTTTAATATATTTCAAAACATTGAAACAAAACAAAAAAAGAATTTTCTATAGATGTTCACATTATATCGACATATCTTTAATATCTAATTTACTTATCAAGTTACGGGCAAGGATTTCAAGATAGAAGATAAATATATCTATCAAAATGTGTCCCATAGGGACAGTATAAGATCTCGTATTCAATTTATTGACCTATAGCAAAGAATTTCCATTTACATGAAATAACAATCTTCTATTACTTTGATAAATCTTGTCCATGATAGACAAAGTTAAATTTTTATAAACTATTCATCTACTTCATCAAAAAATGCATAGCCCAATAGTGATAAAATTGAATTCATGTTTGATGTTTTCAAATGATAGATGATCTTTAGATACATCATAATCGAAAGATATTCATTGATAAGAAAAACTCAAAAATTCCGACACGATAAATATATCTTCAATATACATCCACTTAACCACGTATGTGGTTATCATGCACGAATATCATGAGTAAAATACGATGGATATTCTTGACAATCCGCATGCATGCAACTATTTTCTTTCTCATCATGACAAATATATATATATATATATATATAAACATAAGTTTATAACCCATCACAATTTACCATTCATGCCATATTGTACAGCATGCAATCAAGGGAGAATCGATTTGTTGAAAAAGATCAAGCCCAAAAATTTGTTTAATTAAGCATATAGAATCAATATTCTATCAACTCAAAGAAAATTAGTTTTCTTCATTGATTTGTAGTATCCAAACAATATAATACATAGGTTTCGTTAACCCGTACATTACCTGACTTCGGTACTTTTCGTTTGTTTGTTTTTTTGTTTATTGTTTTAAATGTACGTGTCTGTGTTACTGAACGTGTTAATAGACATTCATCTTTGGCTTGATCATTTATTGAACAAAATAGTTCAATATCATGGGTAATTGATAAAAATTTTAAGAATGGTAATAATATATATAAAGCTTGTCGTACACGTTGACCATATTTAGGTAAAGGAAGTAAACAAATAGGAGCTGCTAATCGTTTTGCTAATGGTCGTAATGTTGAAATACATTTCGATAGTTTTTTAGTTTTACGTCGAAGACCAACACATGCTAAAAATTGTTCCTCATCAATATTATCGACAATTTCATCATCATCATCATTTGTTATATCGACTATTTCTTGAGTAGTTGGTTTTATTATTTGATTATGATTATGATTATGATTATGATTATGATTATTATTGTTATTATTTACATCATTTTGGATTGTTTTATTTAATTTAATTGATCTCCGAGTCTCTGATATTGAAATAATCGAAGAAGATGATGATAAAGTACTTCGAGGTAAAATGGGTGCATATGGTGATCGTGTTGAGATTACTTGTATTTGATAGATAATCGGGTTTGACGCACAACATGCAGCTGCTGTCATATCAATTGACAATTCGAATATAATAATAGAAGAAGAACAAATAGATCTATTTTGATATAAAATAATCTAAATACAAAGAAATAACACGAGTTTATAATCATTTGCAAAATTTTCTATAGATGACGCTTTTCTACTTTCAATATTTGTGTGTGAGTAACGGTGAGTCAAATGTATATATATCTCTATATATATACAATTCAAACGCAAAGACCCCATTAATTGATATATTCAATGAAGTGTAAAGACCTTACGTCTGTTTTTTGTTTTATCAAAAAAGGTTTTTTTTCTAATGAAATCAACTAAGATTGATTTCCTCATGGTCAACTAGTAAATATAACCCCAAACAAACATGTAACAAAATAAAACATATCATGGATCGTTGTAGTTTCCTGACAGTAGATAGTAGCGCTTGACATAGTCACCAATCATTGATAGATTATTTTTTTTTTGAAAAAAAAATTAGATATATTTTGATTTTTTGATCAATATAAAAATAAATTTTTAATGATTTTAATCAAATATAAAGCTAATAAATTTAAGAACGTCCTCTGTCCGTTACCATAACAACATATTTGAATTCCAGTGGCTATATGGTGATGTCGCCACTGAGCCATTAGATCAATATCAAGTGTTCTTATAGTCAAATCTTATCAGAAAACCAAACTGCATATTGTAATTTTTTTTAAAGAGAGCTTTTATCCAAGTACAGTACAACTATCTACAGATCAGAGAAGAGAACATTTGTTCATATCAACGCACATAGCATCATGGCAGCTTCAGGTCGTCTTCAAAAAGAACTTGAAATTAAATCAAGAAAAACTTTGGCAATAACAAAAGATCCATTGGAACGTCTACGTGCAGCATGCTTAGCACGAGGAGCACAAGGTATTAAAGGCTTATCAATGTATGTATTTATTATATGAGACTATTCTCGTTTATTGATGAAAGAAATAATTTTTTATCGATAATTTTCATTTTAGTTTATTTCGAATAATGGATGATGATAAAAATAGAAAGCTAAGTTTCGATGAATTTCAAAAAGGTGTTGAAGAATATGGTTTAAATTTTTCAAAAAGTGATATTGAACAATTATTTCGTTTAATTGATACTGATCATAGTGGTAGTATTGATTATGAAGAATTTTTACGTAAATTACGAGTATGTTTATTTTTTCAAAGTTCATCTATATTTTAAATAAAATTCTTTTTAGCCTCCAATGAATAATTTTCGTCTTAATCTAGTTGCTCAAGCTTTTGCTAAACTTGACAAGTATTTTAAAAAAAAAGAAAAGAAAATTATTTCGAAGAAAAATAAAAAAATAAATTTCTACATAGAAATCATGATGGTCAACTAACAGTTGAAGATTTACGTGGTGTTTATAATGTAAAAAAACATCCAAAATATATGAATGGTGAATGGAGTGAAGATCAAGTATTACGACATTTTCTTGATTGTTTTGATTATGGTAGACATAAAGATGGTGTTGTAAGTATTATTATATTCGATCTTATTTTATTATATATTAATAATAATTATTATTATTAATATTAGGTAACACGTGATGAATTTATTGATTATTATTCAGGTGTTAGTGCCTCAATTGATAATGATATGTATTTCGATCTGATGATGCGAAATGCCTGGAAACTTTAAATGAGCCTTATTTATTTTTTTTTTCGTAAACTCAAATGATTAACTAATATTTAGCAATTTAATAATGCAATGTATTGTTTTTTTAAAAAACGTGTTAGCAATATTGTTACAGTATTGTCTCATTAGATAATGTCATAAAACGTGTAACTCATAACAAATATGAAAAGTGATTTGTGCAAAGATACGTATACATCTTTTAATCTTGATCTAGTTATATGTGCTTTTCTTTTTTTTTGAACTTATGCCTTTAAATTTTCATTGTTTTTGTTACAAATAAAAAAAAGAATACGCAAATTCATCTTACATCAATAGAAAATAATAATAAGAGAACAAAGATAAGAATATATATGCAACTATATGATTTATTTTGAAGTATAGTTTTAAAATAAATTATATGAAAGTAGAATTTGTTTATTTCATTTCCGATTTTAATAGTTTTCATGACTAATCTTCGACAGCTGAGAAAAATTGTGATCTTATACAAGTGAGATTAGTTTTCAAATAAATTCAATACAACTTATGATTTTAAATTTGCTATAAAGTCAAAAATAGTAGCCTGGACGGACAGTGCTAATTTTAGAATTGTTTTTTTTTGCCTCTGTAAGTTTTTTCCGATATCTATCGTACTTTATGCAAATAAAATAGGAATAAATAATTCTGTTTCCTAATATTTACATCCAACCTTGAGACTACTTGACAAACACATGATACTAAAAGAAATGGTATCAAAAACATTTAAATTGATTTTAAAGTGGTGTACTAATGAGTATATACAAATTAAAATAAACAATTTTTTCATTTCAAATCGAAATACATTATTATTATTGCGATGCATAAATCAGAAATATTTAGTTCTAATTATAAAAATTTATACAGTCTTTCAAAATTCATCGAAAGTTTATAAAATTTAATGAAGATTTCTATACTCTTAAGAAATATAATGTATGAACTTATAAAACTAGTTCATCGTATTTAAATGAGTTATCTATGAATGAGAATAGTTGAGATGAAATAGGTAAAGTATCTTGAAAATAAATGGTTTATTATTTGATTTCTCTTCTTGTAAAATATTTTACTCACCCATAAATTTCATCAAGATCAATTTGCAACGCAATTACGATCGTTCTGTACTTACATTATAACTTATAATTTCGAAAACTCTAGATGTTTCTACGTGTCATTTTCAATGTATTTTTTTTTTACAATTATACATAATTGCAACTCTTTTCATCATAACAACACGCAACTGCGTCATAGTTTATCACAACTACTCTATCATATTGTGATTGTATCTACGACAAAACGATGTTAAAAATTGATTCAAATCGAGTACATAAAAAGTACAAAATAGAAATGAAAATTAAAAAAAAAACTAATCTATCTGAATTTCTAAACTTAAACGAATACTATATCTGAAAACTATTCATTTTAAAGTTAAATTTATTTTGTTAAGTGCTTTTTTCCCTACAGAAAAAAGTCTATTTTAGTCAAATGTATTGATTTTTTTTTTGTCTTTTATAGATCGTTTGATAGAGCAATCTCGAATGAATTATATAGTTTATTGATTGTATGATGAGATATTATATAGATTTTTGCTAAACTATCATACAACAGAGAATAACGTTTTTTTGTTTTTATCTGACAGCTTTAACATACAAAACAACACAACTAAATCTGTGTTGGTAGAGAAAAAAAACGTCAAAAACTTTTTAGTATGACTCCACCAATGTAAAATAGGTTATGAATCACTGTTTACGTTTTTCTGTTTTTGCACATTCTCAATTATGATGAGTACAACATAGATTTAGGTAAATTTATAAGTTTTTCTTCTTTTAAACAAGTGATTTTTGTTGATATATTAGCACGATCTAAAATGTTTCTATCAAAACAGAAAAAATTCTCTTGTGCATATTTATTTGTATTGATTCAATTCGTTCTAATCGGTGATCTATAAAAAATTAATCGAAGATTCTTGTTTTACAAATTTAGAAAAGTGAAAATCTTGAATTTCAGTATTAAAACTATAATTAGTTTCACAATTTTCTGAGATTTTTAATTTTGATGTTACCATTCGTTCTAGATTTCTCTATCAATTTAAATGTGTAATAAAGCAGCTGAATTTGATGTCAAAATAAAAACAATCATTAGTTCTACAACTTAACGAAATCTGTTATTGTGATTTTTCTTTTAATGTTTATCGAAAACTGGTCGTAAAATCAGACCCTATTAAGTTGTAGCGCCGCGTCTCAGCTACATTTTAAAGTCAACGAAAACATCGCAGAGAAATTCGAAACATATAGAAACCTCTAATTTGATCCATAACTTTAAGCTTTATTATCACATGTCTCGCTCGGTATACAATTCCATCAAGATAAAATGCTCGAAAAAGAAATTGTTTTTATTTTAGAGGTCCTCTTATAGCAGAGATGTCCATCGCGGCGCGACCGCTGCCGCTGTGGCGGTGGCGGCTGTTTTTTTCAAATAACCATCGCGGTGCGGCGCGGCAGCAGTCGTTTTTTAGAGAACAATGCAAAAATGCATGAATTCGAACAGAATTTCAATATTTGCAAGTGCAAAATTATGAGATTCAACGAATCTTATCGATTGGTAACAACAGCTCTAGTCCTGAACAGTCACAGATCATAAAATTCACAACATTATTCTAACAATCATCGCGGCATGGTTATTTTTGGTGGCGTCGCGGCAGCGTTGCGGTGCGTTAGCTTTTTTCTTTTATCGTCGCGGCGCGGCAGCGGTCAGTTTTCAACCGCGATGGACATCGCTGCCTTATAGTATACATATGGGTCAAAATTTGCTAAATACTTTCATTAATCAATGGATTATACATTCTTTGAAGTTTTTATTTTTATATATTTATTTTAATCAAAAGATAGTAATGATAAATAAATATTTTATTGAATAAGTACAGAATATTGTTTAGGCCATGGTGTATCACTATTATGATTATCGTGTTTTATACCTTGCCAAGTTTTTTCTTGATCAATACGAATTTGTTCACGAATATTTTCAAATGAATAAGCAGCTGGTAAAAATATACCATTAAAAAAATCATCAACTTTTGCTGAAAATGAAGACGATGATGATGCTGTATCAGCAGCATTTCCAGTTACTTCACGTTCTTGATTTTTTAAAGAAAAAAAACAAAAAAAAACTTTATAAACAAATAATAATGAATTGTGTTACTCATACCTCGACTTGTTGGTGAACGAGGTTTATCAATATCATCTGGAGTTTCATGTGTTAATTCAGAAACTTCACGAACAACAATTACTGGATATTCTGATTGTCGACTTTCTTGTTGTCGATCATGAACACTTGGCTTTAGA